TGTCTAAAAATAGAACAACAATATTCAGTTTTATCGTTAATGTCCTATAACATAATCTTCCTGTGCCAGAATAATGCACTTGAACGCATCAAAGCTTTGTGATTGGCCGGCGTGACCCCATGTGTCAGGGCGTGGCTTGTGGGCACTCAGTGGGCTGACGTGACGTGGCAGTGGGCAACGTTCGCTGACGTTGTCCGTGTCAACAGGAGTGACAGTCCGCACACACACAAGACCGCAATGGCAGAAGCAAAAAAGCACCAAATATATCATTTTCACTCGGAGTGGGAGGATGATTATTTTTGTATCTATTCCAATTCAAAGTCCATCTGTCCCATCTGCAATGCGAGCGTGGCTTTATCGAAGAATGGTAATTTAGGAGCGGCATTTCAAAACAGTGCACAAACGCTACGAGACGGAATTCCCTCCTAATTCTGCCTTACGCTCCCAAAAGGGGAGGGGCCTGAAAGGACAGCTAAATGCACAGCAGTCCATTTTCACCAGGCCCAACAACAAGAGCAAGGCTGCTACCATAGCATCTTAACGTGTCAGTCACGTTCTTGCGAAACACATGAAGTCTTTCAAAGACGGCGGAGTTGTGAAATAAGCATTCCTGGAGGCTGCTGACGCACTTTTGGGGGACAGTAAAAATAACAGTAGAATTTCAAAAGGTTTTTGATATAATAAAAACTCAAGTTAGATATCGTTATTAATCAGCTGTAAGTTTTAGTTTGTTTGAACTTATTAATTATAATTATTGTACAAAATGGTATAAGAATGCAAACATTAAGATCTGTTCTGTTTTAATTGATTATAGTCTATTATCAATTCGGGTTAAGAAACTAGTGTTGCTTGCATCCTATTTTAAAAAAGGCATTTATTTTTATAATCTACTAAAATGCAACCAAAAAAAAGGGTTTTATTCTATTAGTATGTGACGTGTGGATAAACTCCAACTCTGTATCAACAACACTGTTGTGTAACTTCAGTTAAATACTTGTATGTGTGTAGATTAGAAAGAGGTAAGATAAAGGATCTGCAGTATTTTATGAAGTATTAATCGTACGAAGGTCAGTTTTATACAAGTAGAAGTGTGTATTGACCTGGTAGTAGGCTGTCAGTAATGGCTACGCCTCTCTATTTGGACTGGTAGATCTTGGCAGACTAGCGACTTTAAAAGTAGCTCTCGGTTCAAAAAAGGTTGGGCACCCCTGATGTAGCTTATCACATAAGTCATATGTGTTTCTTTATGAAAGCCATACTTGTTGGAAATGTAACAGTCATCATCTCATGACCTCCTCAGGACCAGCTCACCAACAACGCCTAACTGTCTTCATACCCCCAGGCCATCTCTGAACTTCCATCCACCCGAAATCAGCTCACCCAGAATCAGAAGGACCATTGTCTCTCTAATTGTGTGACTCAATTATCCTGCTCTTTTAGGAGTCTTGAAATGAACGCACATACATTTCTCTCACAAACTAACACTTAACATCCCATAGCCTATATCAGGTGACATAAAAATGAATATACCAGAATTACGCTGTATCAAACTTTTTGCCATAATACTTTAAATCAATTTCCACAAAAGCGGGCCCTAAGCGCATGCCTGCACCATCTCACTGTATGTCACCAATGTAATGTTTGTAGATCCCTTTATTACATGTGTCCTCGCCATCCATAGTCTCTAAATAACTTATTTCACGTATATATGATATTTAGGCTCGCTGGTCTCATCATACAACGGCAATGAAAAAAGCACCAGGGGAGGCAGCCATAACCTCTGCCGAACTGAAGGGGGCGCAAGTGAGCCCACAGGTTCTTGTTGCTACTGTTATTCTACGCAGAGACGGTAGACGCAAACAACAAACTAGACTTTTGAAACTACAGGAAGATAAGGAGGACTTTTACAAAAAAGTAATAGAGATTGTTGTCCAGAAGGATAGCATGGACTTCATCTTCAAGTCAAGGTAAGACCCCAATTATAATGAACATGGGATCTTACTAAGAAAGAACAATCCAATATTTAGATTTTGGGTATCCTTTTGTTGAATAGTCTGTTTAAAATGAATCGAAGCATCAGACTAAAAAAGCTTTTGAAAATAACCGAAAAGAGTCAGTGCCTCACCAGCCATGAACCTCACCGCACGTCACTGAGGGTTTCTCTGTCCGGCTGAGAGCGCGTTCACGTGAAAGGGACGGGGTTAGCAACATTTGACCAATCACAAACATGGAGAAGCGTGCTGACAGCGCAGCGTCATACTTCATGAATGAAAAGTAAATAGAAAATCCTGTTTCGTAATACAGGCCACTGGTGCCGCAGAGATTTCATAAAGTGAAGGAGGTTTTCCTTCTATAAAACAGCTGTGGGCAGCAGATACCGCAGTGGCGAACCGTCAGGGCCTTCAAGGTATTCAGAGAATACCCTGGAACACTCAGATAAAACAAACAAAAAATCGATTTAATTATATAAATAAAATGTATATAAAATGAATAAATGAGAATCGTATCCGTGTTGTTGATCTGTAATATTACGGTGTTACGTTGATTTGTTTGTCCTTCTCGGACCATGCACTACGCATTTCAGTGGTGTTGTGTTAGAAAAGAAAGCAACCAATCAGATCTTGTTCTGGGTCTCTGGGTAGAATATCCTTCAACCAAGGTATTCTACATCCTTGATCGAATGCCCTGGCCGTTGCACTGAATGAGAGCGTACGTTTGGACTGACAGTTTGATCAACCAATCATATATTGATTTGTAGCCAATGGGCGTGTTCTTTCAGAGTTTCCCTCGGTTTCAGGGTACTCTAGAAGGCCCGCTTTAACTGGCTCGAGACAGAGGATCTAGATGAGTGCGACGAAGCAATTAATGCCGTTTTATTGTTTTTAACGTTGAAATTACAAGTGCAACAGGTGAAGATGAAGTTGTTGCGGAATTGTTGTGAGTGCGAGTCTACAGAAGGTCCAGTTGTGATAGACACGGTTCGCCACTGAGATACCGTGAGAGTCACGGACAGGAATTCATAGATCAAGGCAGACTGGTTTACAGACTATTCTGTTTTGCGAATCCGGTGCTTAAACAAATAGCTCTAAACCCCTGGCCAAAATGTCCCTAAATGAAGTCCGAGTTTGAAATATATATCAAATAATATATGCACTGTCATTTCTCCACATAAACATAACAGTCTGCAATGAAACGGTTGTCTCCTCTGTGCTCCACTTCCTACTTGGCGCACCGGTAACTTTCTCGTGCGAACGAGAAACTATCTCGTGCACACAAGATACTTTATTGTGTAGTGGCAGTGAAAAACAATATCCCACTGGTACAACACATCTTATGTTGATCTGCTGTGGCTAACATGCTACTCTTAAGCATTTATAATGTTTGTTAACATATTTACACAATGTACTGCTTAATCTGATGGGAATCAATTATTTTGCACGTATTTGGGCATAAACCAATGTTTTTATTTAATTGGAATTTTTACCTGATGATTGCACTGGATGAATACAGTTTGGTGGGCAATGAATGCAAAGTAAATATAGCCCCTCAGTGTATAACCATTTTAATTTTGTTGTACATCATGTAGGAATTTTTTTTATATTTATTGAAATACAAAATAAAATGACCCATCAGTCATAACTGATCAAAGAAATTACCATTTGAGAGACGAGGAAACAAAACTGCTTCCTCAGAGTCATAAATCAAGGTCTCAGATGGAGTGACAGCTGTGGAGTTTACTTCATATGAAAAATAATGTCTGGTTATTAAGCATTATATTTAAAAGGCTTTGTTCGTGAGAATCATTGACGCAAACACTGCATCTTTGATATAAATAGTCAGCAGTGCAGGAAGTATTATAATTACAACAACTGTGCAGTTATGTATTAATTAAATACTTTTTGGTTGTTGGCCTTACTTAGGAAGTAATATTAAAGTGTATTATAAACAATACCTGACAGTTGTATTTGTCGCATGGGTTGCATACAATACATTACCTTGAGAGGAATAAAGAGGTGAAAAGTTTCGAGGAAGTTTTCCAAAGTTTGGGTTACAGCGCAGAAAACAATTGTAAGCTGGAGCAATAAAATGTATTTCTTCCTCACTGACCAGGAAGTTGTTTTTTTACAGCTGATATTACTCTGGAAAACAATTTCAACAACAAATATGGTGTCCTTGGTAGGATTAAATGTGCAGTATACATGCAATTTAATTAGTGCATTTGCCGTTTCTCCCTAAAATCCATCTAAACATTACCCATTGGTGAACAGTGTTGGGCAAGTTACTTCCAAAATGTAATATATTACATTGCAATATTTATGTCTCTGAAATGTAATGAGTTACACTACTTTTATATTACTTTTGAGTTACTTTCACCAAAATAATGTAGTTTAGTGCAGCTCATTATACACCCAGTGAAGGGCAATGTGGTATAGCATAACAACTGTGTAGGCCCTTAAGGCTACTAACAACTTGTATTACACGGCTTAGTTGAATACTCGATTCTGATTGTAAATTCTTAACATGTGACACGTTGTTAATACAGCAGTACAGACCACTGTCAAGGACTATAATGAAGGTTGCTAAGGAGCAATAGTGGTCGGCAACAGCAATGAGCATTGATGTTATGGTCCCCAATGAACAGATTATGGCATTTGTTATGTTTTGAAAGTGATAACTGTGTTCGTTATTCTCGTGTCCAGGAGAGAAGCTTTAAAAGGGAGACTAAATGGAGTCTCTGAGAAGGTTCCAAATGGGTACTTTAATTAAAAAAGGCGCGGGTATGTTACAAGCAGAATATTGTTCTGGCTCTCGTGAGCGAAGGGAAGAGAGCGAGCTCCACCTCTCCAGCTGTTATATCTCCTCTGCTGGCTCCTCCCTGGCCCTTTCTCATTTCACCAAATCCCCCTCCTCGACTCCTCGGTCCTCCGGTAGTGACCCGGAAATGGATTTTAGCGCGCCATGTTGAAGGACATCTCATTTCTCTAAAATGCACACAGAGGACCGAGCATCGAGCATCGAGGAGGCTCTCTGGAGGAGCTCTAACCGAGGATACACTGATGGGTCCTTCGCGGCTCCTTCGCGGATGCATTTCCGGGAACGTTGGGTATAAAAGAGGCGTGACACACCGCTGGAATCATTTCAAAACCATGGCGGGAGCAATGCACAAATGTAAGTGTTGATAATGATTCGTTGTATTAGTTATTTATGAAGTGAAATGCGCGATCAAACTCCGCCCGTCTGTATGCAGTTAGAGCCCTCTAACCACATTCCTTATTGACATCTCACCTGATATTCTTTATGTTTTTATCCACATTTTAACTACACCCAATCCTGCTACAGCATGCCATGATGTTTAAAAGTGTAAACGTTAATTTTTTTGTAAAAGTGTTAAATCAACCAGAACTTTGTTTAGCATTCAGCACTATCATTTGGTTTGGGCTATGTTGTACACTAGAATCCATCGCTCATTACAGTCTGTAAATCTTCCAATAGTTTTAAGCTACACCTTTTACTTTGTCTTTTCACAGGGACAGAGCAAGACACTCTGACCCTCATCAAAGTGAGAGTCCAGAACGATAACCTTTTTACTGGCCGAAGGCACACTGCCAAGAAAGCCTTGGAGTGAGTGACATTTTCCTGGATTGGGAACATATGATAGTTAGCATTTACATATTGGTGGTTACAATTGGAATTTTAATATTGTCTGCTGAACCTGTGAGTTTAAATATCGATAGCTTTGATAGATGACACCTGTTGCTGCAGACCTTATTAATTGCTGACCAGCTTGAAACATCTCTTGTATCACTCAGGGAAATTCTAAAGGCCCTAATCCTCACACAGATCGGGAAAAAGTGGGATAGCCTGAAACGGAAATACAAGGTAATGTGTTATCATTCTTTCGTTTACTCATGTGTGTCTGTGAAACCATGGTTGTGTCTGCTCGCTGCTTTTGTATAACTTTACCTCTCGTTTTTGTAGGAGTTGAGATGCCCCCCAACCGGGTCAGGGACCGACAGGGGAGAGGCCACAGCAGCCACATGGCCGTATTTTACGGCCATGCATGAGGCCATCGGTGGGAGGCCATCCATCGACCCTCCCACCCTGATGGACTCGGCCACTGCTGCTCTTGCTTCTGGCAGTGGCTCAACATACACTGAGGCTGTCCAGAGCCAGGCCACAGTAGAGGATGAGGAGGCCACAGAGTCTGGCTTGGACAGCCAGGAGGATGTTGAGCCATCCACGTCTGCCGGTCCCCCTCCCCGACAAAAAAAAAAAAGCGCTTTACTACAGTTCCTGGAGGCAGAGGCGGTCAAGGAGGAGGACCGCTTCAACCGCCAGCAGGCAGCCTCGGAGGAAGCCTCCGCCAAATTCCTCAAGCTCTTTGAGGAAGTAGTTAGCAAGGAATAGTGTCTTTTTTTCTTCTTTTTTCTGTACTTTGGATGTGTTCATTTATTCTTTATTTATATATGTTACAACATTTAGTAAACATATTTAAGTTTGACCTTAACTCCTGTGTGGTGTGTTCATATTTCTGTTATTCAGCCAGTGTTCGTGGGTCTGGTGGACCTGAACACCCTGTATGTAATATAAATGTGTAGGGGGGGGGGGGGGGGGGTACAGTGGGTGGTCACTGAAAATGTGTTCTGATATCTGTTCTTCACAGAAAATTCAATTCAAATCCTTTATTTATCCAGGTGAAATCCCATTGAGATCATTGATCTCTTTTTCAAGGGAGACCTGCAGAGCCAAGGCCATTGAGTGAGTTAGAAAATAAATTATAATTTTTCTTTAGAAAAATAATAAACGGGTCCCACAGACCCGAACACCATACAAGGGTTACATCAAGCATGAAGCCTTCTTTACAATTAGACATACAGAAACACACATGTTTACTGAAGATACAAGGAGATCTTTATTTTATACAAAGCTGAATATACATTTTATGATTTGTGACCTGACTGAAAAGCCAACGTTTTTAAAGTCTTTTTGCAACCCAAGGCATAACTGTCTATAGTCATAGAGAAAGTCATGGCCACTGATTTCCGCTTTTTAGATCTCCACCTCAAATAATTCTGCGCATAAACCAACCGTGTGTAAAGTATCCAAATGCAATATCAGGGATGTTTTATTATAAATAATATATACATTAACATTGAGGCAAGTTACTGCATGTAGCTCAAACCCCACATAAGTAAAATTGCTAACACATGTCTCTTCTTTCTTTTCAAGTTCAGTCAAAGCATAACAATATTTTGTCACTGAACATGACTCAATTTCAACACTAAACGTAACACTTTCTGAAGAGATTGTGCGATGGCCTATCTCACATACAATTTGTAATAAAGACATGGGTCTGTAAAGTCCTTTGCTCTAAATAAACTTGAGCAAGGTGAAATTGGAAATAAGGCATATAAATGGCACAAACAAAAGAACCGAGTAATGCATCTGGCCAGTAAATGCATTTTTCATCGGTGAAGAAAACAAACGGGTAACAAAAAAACTGGCCATAAATAAAAATCCTCTCAACAATAATCGTGGTCGTGCAGCTGGACCGGGTTGTGGTCAGGAGCCGAGATTTGGTCTGCCAGTCTGTCTCTCCGGCCCTGTCCACCTCGCTCCCCCCTCACAGGACGAGGTGGAGACCTCTCTGCTCCTCCTCCTCCTCCTCCAACAGTTGAGTCATGTCTGCAGTAATGCTGAGATTGTGCAGTACACAGCAGGCAGTGACCACAGCAGGGACAAAGGTGTGGTTCACCTCCAAGGCCTTCGACAGGAGGCACCTCCATCGCCCCTTCAGTATCCCAAAAGCGCGCTCAATGATGCTGCACGCTTTGGCATGGCAGCCGTTGAAGCGGTTCTGTACCCTCCCCTGTAGTGGCTCCCGATACGGGGTTACGACCGTTATGGGGTGTACAATGCACGGATAGCCACCATCTCCCACAATGAAGTACCCTGGTGGAGGGTACAGAGCCTCTTTGTATAAGGTACTGTTTTTTAGGACACGGGTGTCGTGCACTGAGCCCGGAAATCCTACGAATGTTTGTAGGAATGTACCCTTCCCATCGCATACAGCCTGCAGCTGTATGGAAGGAAAGCGCTTCCGATTTATGTAGTCCTGGCCACTGGGTCCGGGTGGGGTCTTTATTCTAATGTGGCACCCGTCTATTGCACCCACACATGAACTAAATGCCGGGCTATCGGCCAACTGCTGGAAGCCCTGCCCGACCTCCTCCAGCTCTGGACCAGCAGGCAGCCTGATCACAGACTGCCTGAGAGCAGCGATGTCCTCCACTCCCTGGTGGACCAGTCTGTGGACCGTGAAGAGGGGTACCTAAAAGGCCCGGGACACCACACTGTATGACAACCCGTGTGCCAGCCAGTACACAGTTGTCAAGACAGTCATGTGGTGTCCCCAGGCCTGTCTCCTCTCAGGCCCCAGACACCGCATCAAGGCCTCCTGGGAGTCTCTGCTTATCCTGAAGTCCTTCAGCAGGCACCCATCTCCAAAGTACAGCTCCAGCACCGGGACACTGCTGTTCAAACGTTTGTATGAGTGTGGGTGTTGAACCTGCAGGAAGAATAAAATGTACAGGTCAATACCTTTATCCAGCAAACTAAACTGCACATACATATTCTGTCATAACAAATTAATCCATTGTTGTATTCCAATGAAAAAAACAGCTATTTTTCAACTATTTAAAACAATTGTAATCGCACACTCAAATACCTCAATATGAAGCAGGATGGCTTTGCGCATTCTCGCTTTCCAGCGCTGGGATCGGCGTCTCTCCTGATTCCTGTTGTTGGTCAGAAGTTGTTGCCACTGCCGTAAGGCACATGCTACAGCGGGTTTCATGACTCAATTTGTTTAATGTGGTCACTGACTATGTTTTTCGTTGTTGAAATTTAAATCACAGGTGTGCCTGGACCTTAGCCTGTCAGGTCCCTCATGATTCGTTAATTACTTGGATTAGAAATTCGTTGCAGGTGTTTTGTGAAAGAGGTGTGAGTTGATGATTTATCATGTCATTTAGCCTACTAGTTTAAAAAGGTTAACATAGCCTATAGTATAGTGTATAGACAGTCATTGTTTTTTTTTGTGTGTTTGTATGTGTGCATGTGTGAATATATGAAACGTACATAAGTCTAATGTCGCCTATATGTCTAAGTGTCTAAGTAAATATGTGGGGGAACAATGTTCAGCTGATCTAACAGAGATTACAAAATACAGAGCTCTAACAAAACACTCACAGCTGATGCAGCTGTTGCCATGTCATAAGCTTTAATATGACCACACAGAGGAGAGGAGTTCTCATTTTTCGCGAAAAAAAAAAAAGTTTTAACAACATTATTTATTGACTTTTCGTTCCGGTATAATCATTTTGCGCAAAGATGGCACTGTTTGTCAGAGCACTTCATCCTTCTGGGATTTCATGAAGAACAGCTCCAACGCCTGTGTGTATGGGAATGCTTCTGGTGCTGGTCCATTAACTGCCAGTGTTTCCCACAGATCTGAAATATACTTTGGGGGGTGGTGGTAGCGGGGGGGGTTGAGGTGACGTGCAACAACATTAACCTTTCTGTTGGTCGCTTGTTAGCAGACCCTTCACGCGATGGCAGAGCGAACAGGTACAGGTACAGGCAGGGTCCATAATGATAGCCCTATAGTTTAAATCTACTACCCACACATGACCATATGGAAATGGTTACTATTTAAAAAAATAAATGTATTTATTAATGTATTTAGGAACCTATCCATGTGATTTTTAGTGGGGGTCGACCTCAAATCCTCTAGGGGGGTCCAGGGGCATGCCCCCCGGTAAGATTTTATTTTTTATTTTGGAGTTAAATGCATCAATCTGGTGCATTTTGAGGGGAAAATAAAGAGACTAGATCTATGGAAACACCTATATTTAACAGAACTGTATACATTTCAATAATCATAAAATCAAGGCCATAACCAATAACATACCATTTCCAATATGAAAAAAACACTGAAACTTGTTTATTAATTTAGTTTTGGTTCATTTATAGTTGTGAGTGTGTCTGTGCTCCTGAATCAGCCTCTCCTGTCTCCCTCCTCTCCCCCCTCTCCATCCTCTCCCCCTGCTCCTCTTTGAGGCAGCAGCAAAGACTAGTTTTCTCTCAACAAGTTTTAAAAGTGTATCTTACCTTTTTTCACCTAGTTAACTTTTTATTTATTTATTCATGCATATTTTACTAATCACATTACATTTCATTTAGCTGACGCTTTTATCCAAAGCGACTTATAATGACCGATTACAGGGACATTCTCCCTGGAGTAACTAAGGGCTAAGTGCCTTACTCAAGGGCACACTAGTGGTGGTGTTCCTGGCGGGATTTGAACTCACAGCCTTCCGATCTTCAGCCCACCTCACTATCCATTACATTACATTGCATTTAGCTGACGCTTTTATCCAAAGCGACTTACAATAAGTACATTCGACCAGGAAGACACAAACTTGAAGAAAACAGAATCATATAAGTATATCAGGTTTCATAGAGCCAAACATTTCAAGTGCTACTCAACTGGCTTTAGGTAATCCAGTCCTTTATTAGTATAAAAGTGCTTCGTTAATCGTTCTAACGCTCGAAGTGGAGTCGAAAGAGATGAGTTTTCAGTTTGCGCCGGAAGATGTGCAAGCTATCTGCCGTCCTGATGTCAATGGGGAGCTCATTCCACCATCCTGGAGCCAGGACAGCAAACCCACGTGTTTTCGCCGATGGGAACTTGGGTCCCCCTCGCAGCGAGGGCGCAACGAGTCGTTTGGCTGATGCAGAGCGTAGTGCACGCGCTGGGGTGTACGGTTTAACCATGTCCTGGATGTAGGAAGGGCCAGATCCATTCGCAGCACGGTAAGCAAGTACCAGTGTCTTGAAGTGGATTCTAGCAGTTACCGGAAGCCAGTGAAGGGAGCGGAGGAGCGGAGTGGTGTGGGAGAATTTAGGAAGGTTGAAAACCAGACGAGCCGCTGCATTCTGGATGAGCTGCAGAGGTCGGATGGCACATGCAGGTAGACCAGCCAGGAGGGAGTTGCAGTAGTCTAGGCGTGAGATGACGAGAGCCTGGACCAGAACCTGAGTCGCTTTCTGAGTCAGCTGGGGACGTATCTTCCTGATGTTGTAAAGCGTGTATCTGCAGCAGCGGGTTGTAGCAGCGATGTTTGCAGTGAAGGACAGGTTGTTATCTAGGGTCACACCCAGATTCCTTGCAGTCTGAGTCGGGGAAACAACTGAGGTGCCGATGTTGATTGTCAGGTCAAGAGTTGGACAATCTTTTCCCGGGAGGAAGAGCAGCTCAGTCTTGTCAAGGTTGAGCTTGAGGTGGTGAGCAGACATCCACTGAGAGATGTCAGCTAGACAAGCAGAGATGCGTGCGACGACCTGGGTCTCTGAGCGGGGAAAGGACAGAATTAATTGGGTGTCGTCAGCGTAGCAGTGGTAAGAAAAACCATGCGGGCTAATGACTGATCCG